CAGCGTCCGCAACAAAAGGACGTCAGTACGAATAATGTACCGAGTATGTAAGACATATAAATCAGTATATAAAGGACATGAAAGAAACATGGAGTAAATGACTCAACCTGTAAGTCTGGATAGCTCTGTAAATCATGAAATATTTATAATGTCATGCATATAAATTTCATGTAATGCATAGGTTTGTACGTACATAACATCATCAAGCCTTTGAGGGCATCCCATTATACCATTTCGGCCACTGTAGGTAAATCATCAACGTATACCAGTTGATCAGGTGGTGCTGCGTATATAACGCCGTAACCTTTTCCCATATCCCATATACATATAATATACATATATATGCGTATATAACGTTATCTAGTCATGAGTCAATGTACATGTATAAATGCATGAAACGCATAAGAAATATGTTAATAAGATTTTCTCGGAATGCCATAAAAATTAATATACCTTTCGGATAAATTTTATCAAATACGTATTTTTCTGAGACCCATGAATAGAAGATATAATAATAATTCACATGGGGAATCAAGAATATAGACACCCCTAATATTTCTATGAATAAAGTCATTTATGAAAGTTGCGTATTCTGCTCGTTTCATTTGTATTACTTGGATCATGCCAAAAAGAAAAAAGTGATAGCCTTAACATACCTGGAGTAGGAAAAAATTCGTATGATATTCTTGGGAAAGATTGTACCGTGCCCCTCTTTAAGTTAGACCGTCAATCAAGTAACTTCTTATCTTATTTGAGTATCAAAAGAGTTCTGGTCATGGCCACCTCTCAATTTATCCTTGTTAGCTCCCACTCATCTTTTTTGGAGACATACAAACATCTATGGTTATATGAATAAAGGTGTTTATCGTTTGTCAAAGTGCTCTTAGTAGAATACTAGGCACAGTCTTTGTTTGCGGAAGTTTATTTCAAGGATGGATTTCCATATCATAACATTCTACACAAAATAATGTGCTACTTCGTTAGTATTTGGAGATTGCGGGTAAAATCAATTAACAAGAGTTTATCCCTTCTCAATATACTGTCATGTAAGTAAGGTCAATAACCACTATTGACACAAACTGAATTAAACAGGCTAGTTTCGACAAAGCTCGAAGTAATTCATCCTTGGTTTGAGAAACCATTTTTTTAAGTCCCCTCTACATTCAATGGTCAGATAACAGCATCAAACCCATCATCAACTTAACTCCATGAGCCACTCTTATAAAAGAGAAGATTGAGTCAAACTCCCAGCAATACCCTTCCTGCCACTTAATGTATACGAGCCACGTAATGTGTATATGAATCACTTAATGCAATTGTATGTGGCTGCCACGTTGGTTAACTAAATTCTTATCTAAAGACCTTAGTCTTTATTTAAAGACAATCACTAATTATTAATTAACTATGCATTACCTACTAATTAATCAATTACCCACATAATTAAGAATTATTCAAATTACTTAAGATATTACTCACTTTTAATGCACATTATACATCTTACTATTATAGTCATGTGGTATAAAATAAATACATATACTATTATTTTATTAAAATATCCATATAAAAATACACTTATTTTCTCTAACTTTATAATTTTTCTAATCTCATATAAAGAGTAAAGATTCTCGTACGCTTAATTCTTAAATTGGTAAAAGATAACATTTTTTTGTGAAAAAAATAATTTATATCTTTACAATAAAGAAAATCTCATAAACTTTCTCATATTATGTGTACAATTTAAAACATATTCGAAAGTAGTAATATTAATAACTATATAAAATCATATTTTTTACACTTTTTTTTCCTACAATAAATGTTACACTCAAAATAAATACCATATCAAAATGTATCTAACTGTATCAATATTGTTAAACTTATGAGGTGTAACACGTGTCAATTATAAAACCTTGCGAAAAATGATTAACTTGGAAGTATTGCCTAAGTTTGAATGCGACAAATCAAAATGTCAAATATGTGTGGAATCTAAGTATGTTAAACATCCTTATAAGTCAGTTGAAATGAATTCAAATCCTTTACACTTAATTCACACAAATATTTGCGACATGAAGTCAATACCATCTCACGGTGGAAAGAAGTATTTCATAACTTTTATTGACGATAGTACTCGATATTGCTATGTTTACTTACTTAATAGTAAAGATGAAGCAATAGACGCATTCAAGCAATACAAAAATAAAATTGAAACGCAACTTAACAAGAAAATCAAAATGATAAGAAAGTGATAGGGGTGGTGAATATGAATCTCCTTTTGAAGAAATATGTTTAGAATATAGAATTATTCATCAAACAATGACTCTTTACACTCCCCAATCCAATGGAATTGCGGAAAGAAAGAATCGTTCATTAAAAGGCATTATTGTTAAGTTCTGGTTTGCCACATAACTTGTGGGGAGAAGCTGTTCTTACGGCTAACCGGATACTAAATCGAGTACCCCATAGCAAAACACAATCCATTCCATATGAAAAATGAAAAGGAAGAAAGCCCAACTTGAATTATTTTAAAGTGAGGGGGTGTTTGGCAAAAAGTGCAAGTTCCTAAACCCAAAAGGGTAAAAATAGGATCGAAAACCGTTGATTGTGGTTTCATATGATATGCGACCAATAGTAAAGTATATCGATTTTTGATTCATAAATCAAAAAATTCCAACATTCATAATATTATGTTTATAGAATCGGATAATGCTGAGTTCTTTGAAAATATATCCGTATAAAAAGGAATGTGAGTCGATTGGTGAACGATCTAAACGACCTCGGGAAGAAACAAAAGAAAGTACATTTAATCAGGAGGATCCAAGACATAGTAAACGTCAAAGAACGTCTACTTCATTTGGACCAGATTTTGTGACTTTCTTATTGGAGGATGAGCCTCGAACATTTAAAGAAGTTATGTCTTCTTCCGAATCATTGTTTTGTAAAGAGTCAGTCAATAGTGAAATAGAATCCATATTGAACAACCATACATGGGAATTGGTTGATCTTCCTCCTGGAAATAAACCNGTAAAGAGTCAGTCAATAGTGAAATAGAATCCATATTGAACAACCATACATGGGAATTGGTTGATCTTTCTCCTGGAAATAAACCGTTGGATTCTAAATGGATCTTTAAGAGGAAAATGAAAGATGATGGAAATATTGGTAAATATAAGGCAAGACTTGTGGTCAAAGAGTATAGACAACGAGAAGGCCTTGACTATTGTAATACATACTCTCCAGTTATAAGAATTACGTCCATACGAACGTTTGTAGCGTTAACTATAGTTTATGATCTTGAAATTCATCAAATGTACGTTAAGACGACCTTTTTAAATGGAGAATTGGAGGAAGAAATCTACATGGAACAACCTGAAGGGTTTGAGGTTCCAAGTAAAAAAAAGAAGGTATGTAGATTTGTTAAGTCCCTTAATAAAACAAGCACTCAAACAATGGCATGCAAAATTTGACTAAACAATGTTGTCAAATGGTTTTAAGATAAATGAATATGAAAAATGTATGTACATTAAAAATGTTCCAAATCACATAGTCATTGTTTGCTTATATGTGGATGATATGCCGATAATGAGTATGGCATTGCCAACATAAATGCAACTAAGAGTATACTAACTGGCAAGTTTGATATGAAGGACTTGGGAGTTGCTGATTTAATTCTGGGGATTAAGATCCATAAGACTCCTCAAGATCTGGCATTGTCACAATCTCATTATATTAAGACAATACTTGAAAAATTCAAGCACTTAGGGTTTAAAGTTGCAAAGACTCCAATTGACGTGAATCTTGCATTAGCAAAGAATAGAGGCCAAATCATATCACAATTGGATTATGCTCGTGTGTTGGGATGCTTAATGTATATAGCTTGTGCTATAAGTAAATTGAGTCGATACACGAGCAATTCAGGTTAATCTCATTGGATAGCAATGAAACGAGTTTTGGGATATTTAGAATATACCCAGGGTTTTGTTTTGCACTACAGTAAATATCATACGGTGATTGAGGGATACTGTGATGCAAATTGGATCACCGGTTCAACTGATTCTAAGTCCACAAGTGGATATGAATTCACTATTGGTGGAAGAGCGGTATCTTGGAAGTCGTCCAAACGAACTTGTATTGCCCGCTCTACAATGAAGGCTGAATTCATAGCCTTAGATAAAGCCGGTGAAAAAGCTGAATGGCTCCGGAATTTCTTGGAAGACATTCCATTTTGGCCCAAACCGTTGGCACTAATATGCATATATTGCGATAGTGAAACGACAATTGGAAGGGCTCGGAGCGTTATGTGTAATGGTAAATCTCGTCATATACGACGAAGACATAAAACCGTTAGACAATTACTCTCTAGAGGAATTATCACGATTGATTATGTAAAGTCAAGCGATAATGTGTTGGATCCACTTCCAAAAGGCCTAACTAGAGAGGTAGTTGAGAAATCATCGAGGGGAATGGAACTATAACCGAAAACAAGTCATTGTGGCGGTAACTCTACCTAGAAGACTGGAGGTCCCGAGATTTAGGTTCAAGAAGATCAAACAAAGTCATTAATGATGGTTCAACATTGTCAACTAAAATTTTGATCCATTCTCTTGATGAGACAATGTTCAATACCAAAGAAAAAACATTAAGACTTTTTAATGATTTCTAAATTTGATACATAATTTGAGTTTCTTCGCTACTTTTTTCTTTATAATACTAATGTATCGCCAAATTGCAATCTTTTTCTCCTCTTACTTTTAATCCCCTTATTTATTTAGCATCTAACACATGGTCACGTGACAAACATCCCCCAACTGTCTTAATCACTATCATTGTCATGGTCTTCAATCTTTCATTTTTGTTCAGTAATTCAACTAACCCAATGACCAGAGACTTGTGTCTGTGAGTCACTGAGTCTTCGTATCTCTAGTTAAAATCTAATCATGGTTACTTTTTAACTTATCCTACAAGTGTCTATTCCTACAAGTCTACAACTACAAAAATTCAATCTCTGTCCCTCTTCTCTTGCATTTCAACACACAATACGCGGGTGTGTGTTCCATATATAAAATATATAAATACGTACAATGTACAGTGTAGTACTAAGCATCTTCTGCTACTGAGTACAGTTGGTACAACCTGTCAAAACCGACAAACCGACACTACTATCCCCCGTCGCCGTCGCCGTCGTGCAATGAGTGCTCGGAGTCGGAGGAGATCATCCTCGCCTTTAACATCTTTTTTGGCAAAGCTGTCTACAGTTTCAACAATTACTCTATTGCTGCTTTGTATCGCTTTTATTTCTGTATTAGCACTTGCATTTGCGCTTCCCGAATCAGATCAGCAGCTTGATGGAGGAGGAAGTAGTAGGGGCAATGCTAGTGAATTGAGCAGTGGACCTCGAAGTAGGCCTAAAGAGGATAGTTTTGCTGATATGATCGATCGAGCTCTCGAAAAAGAGTTCACTGAAAATGATCAAACCGAAGGTTTATTTCCACTAGATCTGAACTCCTCACAGCTCATATTATATTTCGGTTTATTTTGTTGCTCATCGAGTTGTACAAAAAAAATCATAATTTGGTCAGTTGAATTGGCAACTGGAAATATACGTTAAACCTGTTATTTTTAAATAAATCAATAATCTTACTAAAGATTCTCTTGACTGAAGAATTTAATGTGATTGGTTTATAGTTTCATTGATGATTGTATTTATTGAAAAAATTAGTATGTATAAAGTTCTGCTTTTGTAGTATCATATGCAATTTCAGAAGGTTGGTAAAGTAGAAAAATGATCAGTTACTAACTGATATCGCCATATATTTTTTCCTATTTAATTGGCAGTTAATGATGCGGGCAGCTTCAATAATAGTGTGGCCGAGCAGCAGGTGTGTTACATCTTACATTATCTCTCCTCTTCCTAGTATCTTTTTGTTCATGCTCTTCCTAGTGAACTAATTAATGTGATTTTTATTGGTTCTGATTTGCTATGCGTACTTAATCAGTTAAAGAAGGTGACTTATTCTCATCAGCTTAACCTTTTTGTGGCAAAGTTACCACGTACCTGTACTAGTGAAAAGATGAAAGTAGTCAGTGGGACACTACCTTTGTAAAAGAAGTTAATGAATTTCCTATGATAAAAGGAGTATATTGATATATTGGATACATGAAATAGCATAATGCATCAGTAAACAAACTTGTTCTTGGCTTTGATACCATCCTATCTCCATTAATAACTGTCTGGGAGGTAGCCGTTCCATTATGCTTCTCCACTTGTTTCTGTTAATATGGTTAGTCTTCTGTCAGTTCTGAAAAAGAAAACTAAATATTTATCTTATAGTAACTTGTAACAACTTAATGATGTGTTTTCCTCTGTTCATAGTCAGGTATATAAGTTTCATTTCTCAGTTTTATTTTGCTGAGGTTCAGTACTGGTTTTTAACTTGTACTAACATATTTCTAGTTGACCTAGTAATAAGTGGGTATGTACTCAAGTTGTGCTTATACATTGACTGTCATTCTGATTCGTTTTTCTTTTTCATAACCATTATACTGATGCTCTTTTCTAGCTTATAGGCTGTTTGAATATCTGTTGTTTCAATGTTATATCCCTTTCTTTTCCAGGCAGTGTTGGAGACTGTGGCTAGAGTTAAGCCCAAGAAAAATGACACAAAGAAAGAGGACAAGTATATGCTTAATGCAATTTCACGAATTAACTTTCTACAGTATTTAGCTCCTTCTTGGTTCTTGATTTCATGTTTTGTACTATTACTTTGTAGATCCTTTCAACTTCACCATGTTTTCAAGCTTGATAATGATCAAGGAGCAGAAGAAACCCCAACTTTGATAGATAGGAAGGTAAGCTTTTAGTGGTGACTTATTTTGCTTCTGCGCATGAGTTGATCGGCTGGTTACGGTTTTGGAAAATAAAGATCCATATTCATGGAATATAATGCTTGATATTTTGGTTATTCAGGACAATGTCTTCATCATATCTAATTTCAAGTCCAAGTATCCAGTGTTACAGTTAGATTTGAGGTAAGCTTTCTGAATTCATATGGACAATGACAAGCATTTATATGGCTCACTGCTGCTTGAAATGTCTAATGTTTAGGTTGATATCAGATCTGGTAGTGGTCATTGTTTCTGCAACATGTGGTGGAATTGCTTTTGCTTGTGCTGGTCAACCGGTTGGATCACTATCTTTAACTGAGTTCTTTTCATTACTGATAAAAGAACATGACTGATTTTTTCTCCATTCAATAGTGTACAATAGGTGTTCTTTTGGTAGTTGCCTTCAAGTTTCTAATTCGTAGTTCATAATTTCTCAGGTTTTAACTGGATACTTACTAGCAGGATCTGTCGTTGGACCTGGAGGCTTCAATGTTGTTAGTGAAATGGTGCAAGTATGTAGCTTTGACAAAAATGATGTTATGATTTGCTTATTTTCTTCACCTAATACTGTGCAATTGTTGTTTCCCATGGTCCAAAAGGTTCCAGCTGAGCTTGTAATACTTAAAAGGACTTTTTTCTGATCAGTTGCTTGATAAGAAATGTGAAATGACCTACTTTCACAAGTTTAGACCAGCTTAAGTGAGAATCTCAATTTTGTAAGCTTAATAGAGCATATGGGTTCTAAATGACATTTTTTGGAAAATGGAAAATGATGGAGACATGCAAGTTCCAAGTAACATTTCAACTTACTGGTTTTGTATTTGCAATTAAGAAAAATATAATGCTGTTTGGAAATTGTTAAAGAAGGTTATCTGGTAATAATAAACTTAGTGTTTTTTATTTTGCTTTTAATTCATTTATCAAGCTTTGTGTCACTTTTAACCTGTTTCTTCATATAGGTTGAGACAGTGGCTCAGTTCGGTGTAATTTTTCTTCTTTTTGCTTTGGGGCTGGAGTTCTCAACAGCAAAGGTTTGCTAATGTCAAAATTGTCATTTTTCTTGATGTAATTCTGGAGTCATTATTGATTATGTTATACAAACTGTGGGTAACACTAATATTTTATGCCATCTAGCTTCGTGTTGTTCGAGCAGTTGCAGTTCTTGGAGGACTGCTTCAAGTTATGCTTTTTATGTGTCTCTGTGGAATTACAGCTTTGGTAGGTCTAAAATTTACTTGTTTTATGCGGTCTGGTTTTATGTAACTATGTGGGCTCCATTTCTTATTAGTTGATGAAAAACTGTCATTCCGATGACTGCTTTGTTGCTATGCATTGACAGTTTCCAGCTATTTTAATTAGAAAAAAGTAGTTTTAATATATGTTGTATCTGAGAGTCTTAAAAAAAATTTGGTGCCTGAGGAGAAGTGAGGATGGTGTCTGGTGGAATTAGCTTCCTATAGTAACAATAGCTAGTGACTTGGCTCGCGAGTCAATTGATGAAACTTTCGTGCTCAATGGGAATGGATTGTTCTTCCGTTCAAATTTGACTTGTTGGCTACACTGAATTGCAGAGCTAGCAGAAGACTAATTAGTCTTATGCTGGTGGCCTCTGAATGAGTGCGATGTTAAAAAACTCCGATGAAATGGTATAAATACATACTAAAAGCATCAAATGCTGTAGTTATCTTATAAAGGCGAAAGCTCTTGGTAAATTTTTAATGGGGAAAAGTTTGATTCTGTTTAGTTACATAATTAGCGAAATATAATTAGCATTCTATATTTTAGTAACAGAAAATATATCTAATATAGTCAATTTAAACGTAGAAGTTTTTCACTTTATCTCGTTTTATGCGTATAGTCAACTAAAACATAGAAGTTCTCCACTTACCAAAAAAAGACCGTAGAATTTTTCCACTTTACCTCATTTTATGCTTAATGGCTCAGCTGAATTAAATTGTTGAGCATAAGAAAGATGTATATGCTCATGTGACTGAGTCAACAACAACAACATACCCAGTATTATCCCACACTGTGGGGTCTAGGGAGGGCAGTGTGTACGTAGACCTTACCCCTACCTTGTGAGGATAGAGAGTCTGTTTCCAATAGACAAGGTAGGGGTAAGGTTTACGTACCCCTATACATATACATATTGTATAGTAGGAGAAAGTTGCTCCAAACTAGTACTATGTCTCATCCTTTAGTGCATGCCAAAAGTTTTTCCTCATTCATAGAAATATAAACTTATGCAGCTTGATGATTTTGTAGTTGTGTGGCGGTAAATCTTCAGAGGGTGTATTTGTTGGAGCATTTCTCTCAATGTCTTCTACAGCAGTGGTAAGCTTGTTGATATCCAGTTTGCATTTTCTTTAGGGTATTGTGGACTCTGAAGGCTCTGACGGTAACTGACTTTTGTCTTTGCCATAGGTGTTGAAGTTTTTGATGGAAAAGAATAGTACAAATGCCCTTCATGGCCAGGTTACAATTGGCACACTTATTTTGCAGGTGATTCGTCCTCCGATTTATCTTCTGCACGGCCTTCTTTCTTTACCGTATGCAAGAGTAACTAGTTGAATAGAAGTCTAAATGGCGCGTGGCCAATTCAAAGGTCACAAAAAGATTTTTTTTTGAGAATGAACAAAAAGAAAATATTGTCTCACCACTATTTTCATCATGACAAGAGTAATACTTGCTAAACATCTAATCTGTGGAGCCTGGTGCAGCTATTATTTATCTCACCCATAAGATACTACCACATAAGAATAGATCATAGTTAATTTCATACTCTTCTTCCCTTGAATGAACAGTAATACAACAACAACAACCACAACCACCCAGTTGTAATCCCACTAGTGGGGTGTGGGGAGGGTAGTGTGTACGCATACCTTACCCCTACCCTGGGGTAGAGAGGCTGTTTCCAATAGACCCTCGGCATCCTTCCCTCCAAGAACTCCCCACCTTGCTTTTGGGTTGACTCGAACTCACATTACTTGAATGAACAGTAATGTCATATCTAAATTCCAGGTGCTTTCTCATTCTTTCAGGATTGTGCTGTAGGCCTGCTGTTTGCTTTGCTTCCAATCTTGGGAGGCACTTCCAATTTTGTGCAAGGGTTAATATCGATGACGAAGTCGTAAGTTTTCATACTTGACTTCTTGAACCACTTCTTATTTCCTCTCTGTACATGCTTTGGTGCAGGTCAACTTTCTTTGTAAGAACTAGTTGAGTTCTGTTTGCTTTCCCTCGGTTTGGAATCTTCTTCATGGAAGGAAAAGAGTGTTCTCGAACATATTTTAGGCTCTGTCTCTTGAGAACTGAAGATAGGCTTTTATTGTGTTAGAAGCTGATCAATCTTGCAACTGACCTCTTTTCAAAGCTCATTTGCTGCATGAAAAATGTCCATTCTATGCTATCATGTCATGTATGTTTAGGCATACATTTTATAACCAGATCTTGCCTAGAGGCATCTGTTCATTTTTGTAGATTTAGCAATCTGACTGTTGATTTCTTTTATCCTGAGCTTTCCCACTCGGGATGTTGCAGGGGCGTCTATCTGTCAAATCTTGCTCTTGAGTTCTGAATTTAGGTTTTAACTTCTTAGGAGTTCATTTGGCCCTCTAGAATATCGTAACTAACTTATATGAGTTTAGTCTCTGTATGACTAAGTCACTTGAGGAGGGAGGTGGATTGTTCTTTTTAAAAACCAGGTATGTTGAAGATAGAAGATAGAGGCCCAATTAAATTATGCACAATGAAAGCTGGATACCCAAAGAAGTTATTGAATCAGTGGTGAACAAGTTAGTGCCTGCTGATACTTTATAATTTTGCAAGGCAAGGAAGCTGCACTTGTCCATCTAAATGATGATGACATAGATATGCATGTATAGTTAATATCAGAGTTTAGCAACCTCTTAATTTAATTTAAGTGAGAATTCTCTTTTCAGCAGATGAACTTACTAAAGAAGATCAGTTTTCACGAGAGTCTTCTCAATAAAGATTAGTGGAAGTTAAAAATTGATGGGTGGAGGGTTGATGGTCATATCCCTACCATAGGTTATGCAAGAAGATCTTTAATTGGGTCAAATGTGAAAGACATATATTTGTTATGATGGAGCAGAAAGAGTAAATCATCAACGGACCTGTGGGAAGGTATATCATAAATATGATCCTACATGATTATTGCAAAATTTCACCTAAATTCNTGAGAACAAGACTTTTCTATTTCTGTGTATTTAGCTCTAAAATCTGTAACTTCAGTACCCTTTACTTTTTCATACTCTTATGCTAAGTAGCAATACTTTTAGACTGTCGCTAGCTGCTTAAATGATGGCGATCTCTAAATATTCAGCATGGCGAGTCTGTAAGTATGACATACTTATTGATTGTTCTTTTGTAAAGAGGACTGATTTTGGCACTTTTGTTAAGGAGAAATTTACTTATAATTGGGATGAGCTTCCAAAAATTACTTTCTGTTACTAAAAGTTACATTTCTTGTTGGAATGATTGCGTTGCAGCAGAAATGTCAGTTTCCATGCGCCTTTCTTTATGGTATTGTAATAGACACCAAAGTAACTCAAATGATATTGTATTATGGTGGGCCTAATATATTACATAGTTGGCATATACTGTACTTACTACCTATAGTGGCGTAGCACCGTGTTGTTTGTCCCCATAATGCAAATTCTGGGAAATGTGGAAGGTCTGAAAGGAGATGCTAAGGGAGTACTGCTGGAATTTTGGTGCTTTAAATTGTTTGAGACTCTTGCTTGACGTTATTTTTGCACCAATCCTACTTATTTGTTGCATTATACTGATTCATCTATCAGCCAGGTTGGTCGTGTTGCTCTCATTTTTGGCTATTTTGTCAATGTTATCACGGACATGTGTGCCATGGTTCCTGAAGCTGATGATAAGCTTATCATCACAGGTATGAACTTCCTAACTAAAAAAATTTCATTTGTTAACCAATAGCACTTTCTGAGATTTGTGGAGGAGAGGAAAAATTAAAGAGAACTTTTTGGTGCTTTTCTAGGAGTTGTTTTGCTTTTCAGAGACTTATACATCAGTAAAAAATATTAAGAACTTCTAATACTTTTATTTTATTTTGTATTATATTGGCCTTAGGCGAGACTTAAATGGATAATATAGTCAGTGAGGATTCATATAGCCGTTCCAACTTGTTTGGCATTGAGGCGAAGTAGTAGTAGTTGTTATAACCAAGAAGCCCTGAGGGTCGGTGGCATACAGTTCGAAACTCGATGGATAATGGGCCCACACGTCTACCCTTCTTCACTTAAATACCATGCATTTGTCGGTGATTGGGGTCGAAACTGTAACATGCGCCTAATTCACAGGTCACACGCTGCACTTTTACCAGTAGATCAAAGCAAGAATTAGAGAGAACTAGTTGACTGATCTTAACGTAATTCTTACTAAATACACCTACTACCTATTTATAAGTCTGGATATTCTGTAGAACATAAAGAATTACGAACATACTCTAGAAAATAGAGCGGCTTGACCCATTTATATGGTGGGGTGTCAACCTTGACTTTCAACACCGTGCCTCCCTCCTCCTCCTCCTCCTCTCGAATTCAAGGTGACAAACTTAGACGAGTCTGAAGCTAATTAACAAAACCGAGATGAGTCAAGCGAGCCAGAAAATATAGCACCTAAGGGTGTGGCCTAGTTCTCACATTGAGTGTTTTGCAGATGTGGATGGACTGGCTCTAAGATTGATAGAAGGTCTACTACCGACTATTGTGTCTTTGTTGGTGGAAACTTGGCTTCATGGAGAAATAAGAAAAGAAATGTTGTATTATGGTCTAGTGCAGAATCCGAGTATAGAGCTATGGCACAGTCTACGTGTGAGATTATGTGGATAAATCATCTTTTAAGTAAAGCTCCGTGTGATAATCAAGTTGCTATACATATTGCCTCAAATCCGGTATATTGTAAAAGAATTAAACATATTGAGGCTGACTGTTATTTTATTCGTAAAAAGATTCAGGAAAACTTAGATTTCCACTGGCTACATGAAGACAAGACAGCAATTAACCGATTTGTTCACAAAAGGCATTGAGGAGGAGTGTTATAGAAGCATATTTATAGGGAAGATTTGAAGGTTTTCCTTTTTTTTGATTCTCTCCATAGTTGGAACGCTAAATACATGTATTTATACCTGTTGCTTCTTGCAATAATATGGAAGTTATTCTCCAATACTTTGTCTGTTACAATACTGTAGTACGTACGTAATTAAGTATCGAGAATCAATGATCACTCTACTAAGTCTCAATTCTAAATATTAAGTGTTAATATACTCCACAAAATACGAGGTGCACTTAGTTTACGCATTATTATTAAGTTGGCGCCGAAAGCACTTATCATATGCTCTATCCATTATTATGTTGGCACTGAAAGCTTTTCAACTGCACCATTGATATTGATTTTTTTAGTTTTCATTTCATGACGATTTGTGGGCATTGGTGACAGATACTTATGATTTGTCTGAAAGTTTTAATTATGTCCTTTTTTTGCAGACCAATGAACTGTATCAATTGGCTTCAGTGGCATTTTGCCTCCTTGTAGCTTGGGTTGGTTATTCTTCTTGTAACTAAGCTCTTTTGAACTTCTATAAGAGAATATACATTTGGATTGTCTTTTCTTTCTGCTTTCTGGTTATGCATTACTTCCTGTTGACCAGACCTCTCTCTATATCCCTTGGTAAGATTCATAGCTTGGACTTTTGGAATTGGAGTTTAAAATTAATTATGTCCTGCTCAATATGTCTATAATGCTAGATACGTTCCTTTTTTTTTTAATCATTTTTGAATAGAAACACTTTTTGAAAGCTCTTCACATCTATATGTTCATATTGCCAATAGTATCCTAGTGCTGAACTCTTGAGTTCTTCACAAACAGCTCCTGAACTGTGCTGCAGTCAAGAAGAGCTCAGAACAGCTTGGTCATGCTTGGCCTGCAAATTTTCATGATTCCATTTGCTATTTTGTTCCAATTTCTTCAGAGAATTTCCTTTATAGTGCATATTAATTGAATTCTTGCATTTTTATTCTGAGAGGTGCATGATGAATTTGTTTCTTTTTCTTGGTGCATGCTGAGAACCAATTATTTTGTTGTTTATCCTATCAATAACTGTTTTTTCTATTGTTTGTACAATTTCAGTGCAGTGACAAGCTAGGTCTAAGCTTAGAGTTGGGTTCATTTGCTGCTGGAGTGATGATTTCAACAACTGATCTTGCCCAACATACTCTTGAACAAGTAAGACTTCATTTTGGTATTTCTCATAAAAAAAGACTTCATGATGATATTTGTTTAGTCATTATAAACATAGGGACAAGAAGCATCATGATGTCAACGGGCATTAGTAAATAAAATCATTAGGCCTATCTGATATTTGAATAGAAACTTATACATGTTTGATATTGCTGATGAAGACATGTATTGCCTGGTATTGAATTACTGATGCAAAGATAAACTTTAACTGTTCTTTTATTGGTACACCTGAAAGAATAAAGTAGTAATAGCGCTATATTGGTTTTTGTGGGTTTTTACTTAAGCTAATTCATATATTTATCCTTTTTGAAGCAATGTTGTTGTGAGAAGGCACGGGAGAAAATATGATATATTGATATTGTATGTGATGCAATACAAGAGGTGCTATTTATAGCTACCCTATACAAAGGGGATACTACTCCTATTCCAATGTGGGACAATTACATAGCTATCTCTAACACTCCCCCTCAAGTCGGAGCATATAAATCATATGTACCGAGCTTGTTACATATATAATCAATGCGAGGACTAGTGAGGGACTTGGTGAAAATATCTGCAAGTTGATCATTCGATCTCACAAACTTCGTAGTAATATCTCCTGAGAGTATCTTTTCTCTGACGAAGTGACAATCAATCTCAATGTGTTTAGTTCTCTCATGAAACACCGGATTTGATGCAATATGAAGTGCAGCTTGATTATCGCACACAAGTTCCATCCGACTGATTTCACCAAATTTCAACTCCTTGAGCAATTGTTTGGTCCAGACTAGTTCACATGTTGCCATAGCCATTGCTCGGTATTCTGCTTCTGCACTAGACCGAGCAACTACATTCTGTTTCTTACTTTTCCAGGACCAAATTTTCTCATACTAAAACACAATATCCAGACGTATAACGTCTATCAGAAGGTGATCCTGCCCAATCAGCATCCGAGTACCCAACGATCTGCTCATGACCTCGATCCTCAAACAATAATCTTTTACCTGGAGCCGATTTTATATGCCGGATAATGTGGACAACTGCATCCCAATGACTATCACAGGGAGAATTCATAAACTGACTTACAACATTCACAGGATAAGAAATGTCGGGCCTAGTCACTGTGAGATAATTTAATTTACCAACCAACCGCCTATAGCTTGCAGGATCGTTAAGCGGCTCCCCCTGTCCAGGCAGAAGTTTAGAATTCGGATCCATTGGCGTGTCAACAGGTCTGCAACCTGTCATCCCTGTTTCCTCAAGAATGCCTAACACATATTTCCTTTGAGAAATAACAATACCTGAGCTAGATTGAGCAACCTCAATACCTAGAAAGTACTTCAATCTGCCTAGATCCTTAGTTTGAAAGTGCTGGAAGAGATG